GCGGAAGGCACAAAAAAAAATTGGGAAAGAGGAGCGAGGCACGACGGATTAACGGAAGAACGCACGCGGCGAGCACGTTGTGGAAAATAAGAGGAAGGAAAATTAAACGCAGCCAAGAGCACGTGTGTGTGCCGGCGCGAGCCGAGACGGGGAGGGGTACCAAGAAAAATCGCTATTCTTGCAAAAAGTATCACTATAAGGAGGATCGAGGGAAGGGGATCTTCAATATTACCACTTTTATCTCGAGATCATTATCAAGCTGGAAAAAGCGTTACAAAGCCAAAAGAAGAAAATTCCCTTTATGTGGAAACGAAGCTTACAGCCAAACGAAGATTGATAGTTGCCGCGGCAGTGAAATAAGCATAGACGCGCGGGGAAGAAACGAGATTGAGATGGACGGTCGGGGGAAAATTTGCGAGAAAGTGTTTTTCTCTTTTTTTTTTTACGTGCGATCGCGATCTCGATCGTGTCGGACTTCAGAGGATCGCGAGGGCGCCGAATAATCATCGTACGCTCCAAACTTCCCGGCACAATCGCGGAGTCGCGCTTTGACGTAAAGATTCCAATTCGGTCGCATTTTTCATCTCTAACTGCAGCGCGCACGTCATTAGCATCGAGCATCGAAAGAAGTTCGCGCGGAAATTCCCGCAGCGTTCGCTCGCGCACGCCCGATCCCGATGCCAATTTAGCTACTCGTGTTCCGCGTTACACACCACTATGCGCGACAACGGCCAATTAGCATACAAAGGAGGCGCAATTAATCGAAGACTGTCGCGCGACTGCAACACACTACCAAATAAAATCCAATGACCGCGAGGCATGAAGAAATCGATGGGAACTTCTCCCGACGTCTTCGTCTCGAGTGAATCTCTGGACTACAACTTCATCATGCTTGTATGATCGTCACAGCATGATCTCGGGAAAAATAGCGTTGCGCCGCATTAAGATTAGAACTACACGCGGAAAACTATATATTGCATTCAAGTAAATATTAGTTATTTCAAGTATTTCACTGAGGGGTTTATATATCCACAAATGTATCATGACTTCATCATAAGTGTCAAATTTATTCCAAATACTTTCCGAATCCTAGTAAGTTTAGCATTGCAATGAAGGATATTAAATTAAAGAAAAAAATTCGGATTGCTTTTGCTACGTAGGGTCGAGCTAACTTTTTCTCTGATAAAGTTTCGTAATATTATATTCGTAATATTCTCTTAGAAAGAGAATAAATTCTTCTTTTCAGTACATGATAATGAGCTTTCGTGAAATTTGTTGTTATATTTTAATGTTATATTTTTAGACTGAGACTTAAGAGACTTAAGAGAAGGAAAACAAACCGAGTAATCTTATTTTTCTTAGCAGTAAAATGATATATTTCTATGTGTACCGACGATTAATGACCTACTTCTATCAGAGCAGTCAAAATGACAAGTTTTTGAAAAAATACATAATGTAAGAGAAAAAAATGTTTACTCATTTTCTTGATTATACATAAAGTCGAACTAACGTTTTCTTCGATAAGATTTCATAATTTTCTCGTAGAGAGAATAAATTCTTTTTTCCAGTACGTGATAAAAACGAGCTTCTCTGAAATTTTCTAAAGTTTGTAGTAGAAGTATATTTCGAAAATGTTATCAAGAAAATATTTTTTGTTCAAAATAATCATTACTTAAAAGAAGGAAAGTAAATTGAATAATTGCTTTTCTTTTTTACAGTAGAACGATATTTTTCAGTGATGACTGATATCTCTGTCGGAATGATAAAAAAATAGGTCTTTGAAAAAATACGTAAGAAAAAAGTGTTACTTATTCCCTTTGGTTCTCTTTAACGTCGATTAAAAATATAGAATGCGCCGTTATAAATTGGAGTAATTTTTCTAAGAAATTACAATTAAAATGTCAAAATGACACGGAAATTGCTCATTTTGGCAGGTCCAGCGTTAATGTCGTGATACATGTTAGATCGGCAGTGTGCCCTTGTGTAAATTTCCATCAAGGGCAGAAGCCGCCGTGGAAGAGTTGTAAGTGACGCTACGTTGCGAAAATGAAAATCCTTAAACGAGCGCGATGAGAGCCCCTCATTGACTTTCATGCCAGATATTTACGTCCAGAGCCGAATGTCCGCGGAAGTGGTAGCCCCGCGAAAATCCTCCGCGGACACAGAGGCACAGAGGTAGGAATTCATATTTTATTCGCGGCGTCGTTCACTTCGATCCGTCGTACATTACGTTAGTCGTGCGCGCTCGTTACGCACGTCAATGCGACTTCCCGGACAATTCCATTCCGCCGGTAATTAATAATGATCGACGCGCCGTCGCGCGGATCGGGAGCGACGAGCGTGTGTCCTTACTTGCCGAAGCGGATAAATTGGATCGTGTTACGTAACGTTGTAAGCCAAGTGACATTTGCGGCTAACTGGGAAAAATGGCCCTCGCTGAATTCCGCGGTCGTTTTAGACGACGTGTGACGTTAAATGTTTCTGCGCGTTAATTAGAAATTCGACAAATCGGCCGCGGTCCATTATAGTGTTCGACGTTAATTAAGGCGAATTGATCAGAGTGTGTGTAGGAATTAGAGCGCCGTGTGAACTGACTTTCCCGTTCGGTAAACGATATCTCAATATTCATACATCGTGACACGTGCACGCGTGGTCATCATATCGGCGCGATTTAAGGTATTTATTCACTTGAACCAAAATGTTTCGAATTATACGAGAATTCAGCGTAACATTCGTCGCGGTAAAACACAGTTCAAGTTTCATGCGATTTCTCCGCACCGTTCGTTTAATTTAATACTGAAGAAATTTAATACTGAATATCGCAATTTTGCACATTAGGCAAGACTGAGGCTAGATGTGCCGCATATTTTAGAATTTCGAAGTTAGAGTTTCTCAGGCATAACTCATAACTAATTGTTGACTAACGATACAAACATGGTAGAGACAACCTTTTTCTATGTGTCAATGCCCGCCATGATTCTGTTAACTATATATTTTGCTTTGTAATAAACAAAATACAAACTTGCAGCAACGTGCCCAATTGGTTCAGTTAAGGGGATGCTGAAGCTGAAAACTTTACCGACAGAACACTAACATTTTTCTACAAAATTTTTTACGTCGTATTGGTTACACAGAATTACAAATGCTTTTACGCAATGAAAATATGTGCAAAGATAAATAGAAGCATTGCTCGATATGTGACGAAAACGAATAAAAAATTTTTTATGTAAAATCTCAAGCTGTCAATTAGCGTAATATTTGCATAATCTAAAAGTCCCGCAACTTGTACATGTCGAAAATGTGGATGCTCCAAAAAGAAAAATTTTGAAGAACATCGCTGTACCTTCGCATCTGCATTTGGAAGTTTAAAAATATCGAAAAAGTTTGCAGAAAGATTTCTACATGTATATGATTAGGTTTTTCGTTGAATATGGTAAAACGAAGCAACACACATTCATGTAAGTTCTGTATATACAAGAAATATAAAAAAGAGCGTGATTATGTTAGTGACGATCGTCTCTGCATTATCGACATTGTTCGAGTTCGTCGTCGACTCCAGCATCCCCTTAACGCAAAATAAAGAAAGCCGCGTATAAAATATATATTCTAGTTAGTAGTTCCGAGATTTCCGCGAGAGGTCTCCGCAGCCTTCTTATCGGCTCTTATAATTATGGGCCAACTTTACCTTGTTCGCCCACATGCTCGATTTCAGTTACTTTATAAATGGAAATTGCTTGTATTATCTAAAATAGTATATCATACACTTGCAAGAAACTTCATTCTAGCTAGTAACACGTCGCCCAATTTCATTCACTCACGATGGAGTATAACACAAAAAGTCACTTGTTAAGTCAGTTTTTTCTATTTTTTTTAACTGTAATATTATTTTGATTTTAATGAGACTCTGGAAAAAATACCTATGTTCTAAAAAGACCATTCGCGATTTTGTATCCACTGTTCCTGTCAAGACAAATACTAAAAGAAAGCACACGAGCAACGCACTCTTGGGATCATCCAGACACGATCTCTCCTAACCTTATGGTATATAAATGACCATTATTCCAATGTAACTTCATAAAAAAATGATACCATCCAAATAAAAAATTTACCGTTACAAATGTTACGTATTAAAAAACTCTATATGAAAGGAAGAATAGTGTTCACTACACTGTTTTTGTATGTAATGGTCGATTGTAGGCCGGAGAACTGCCGCTTTATGCTTTGCGTAGCATTGTACTGAGTGGAACGTGGCGAGGTAGTATCATGAAATTACCTTCAAATGAACATTTATTATTTAGATAGTGAGAGAAATGTATAAAAACGTAATTCTCCGATAAATAATGAGTTTTACGAGTAGCTCCATTGATGTGCCATTAAAAATACGGTCCTTGGTCGGCCTGAGAATACACACTTTGTGAATAAGCTCCTTGAATTCTGCGAGATGTCACTCGACTCGGTATCACTCCGACACGGATAACACTCCATGACGATTGAATTGTTGTAATAAAGCAACGGTCACGACGACGGAGGAGGAGATGCACGTAAATTCGCGTAATTAGAAGCAGGAGCATCTTGCCGACACTTCGCAAAGGTCTCTGTAACTTCGTTAGGGTAGGATCTGACCTCGGCGCGCCGTAGTCGACGCATACACACACACACACACACACACACACACACACACACACACACACACACACACACACACACACACACACACACACACACACACACACACACACACACACACACACACACACACACACACACACACACACACACACACACACACACACACACACACACACACATATACATACATATACACGTGCAATCGATGCGCGCCCATCCACTGCGTGACGTCTCGCGCAGCTGTTCCGTAACTTATGTATCTAGAATTTAAGTCGTGGTGTTATTTACACGGCGATCCGTTTCTCGTTCTCGCAGATAAAATCACCTCGCGGTATAATTAACGATCGCATCGTCGACTCGCATGTTCACAGGTTGTACTGTCGGCGTGCAGCACATACTTCGACACGATTCTATCGCAGTACGAGGAGAAGGACCCCATCGTCATCATGCGTGACGTCAAATTCTCAGACATCAAAGTGCTCGTGGAGTTCATGTACAAGGGAGAGATCAACATTGACCACGTGAGTGTCCAATTTTCTACAAGTTATTCTCCTGTTTGCGTACCTGGTATCATTGCCGATTCTATGAGCGACCAATCCCAGGTATTTCCTCGTAGCCGCGACGCGCCTGGCGCTTTGCATGACGCACATACTGAAAGAAAAACATGTAATTTTCCTCTTTGTACGAAGTAAAGAACTCTTTATACGTTTCAAAGAAAAGAAAAAAAAGATATCGTGCGTGACATGAATAATTCTCGGCATATCATGGTGATCTTAATTAAATTAATGATTAATTTATTCCATTGGAAAGATACGTAGATGTGTGTTCTCTTTGTACTTCGAAAGATCTCCAGGAAAGAATAAAAGTCACGAGGAGTATCGGTCTGTACAAATAGTTGGAATTACTCGAGAGAGAAATGCAAAAACTGAAATTGAGTCTAATTCTCGAGAATTAAAGGGCAAAAGCGTGTACCGCGATATACCAACATACACAACATATATATTCGATATTGTGGTGACAACTTAATGACATTTAAATATCAAATTTTTAAAAATGAATAATTGACGAGGTCTCTGCATTCTCCAGGACATATCTCGCTTCATTGAGCGTATCATTTTTCACTCAGTTCAGTATTATCAGCGTTCATTATCTTAGGTGGTATTTCCGTCCAGTTCCAGTAATTTGAAAAGATATACCATTCCTCAAGTTACCGCATTTAATGAGTATGAGAGCGGCAAAAGAAGACATCCGTGTCGAAGCCGCGGCTGCAATTATATTCCGAACTAGATCAAGCAAACACTCTTGCAGAGATAGAAAATGACGTGGGTTTTTGAAATGGCAAAAAGACACGAAACGCAATACCACCGCGTATCGCGCCCGCGCCCATATTAAATATTCTCAGGCTAAACGAGAGTTTCTCTCTTCCGCTTAGGCGTATCTTAGATATATTTTCGCTGCCGTGCTCATTAACGTTGCTATTTGCAGCGGGCGTTTTATTACGTCGTCGTGAAATGAAGTTAAGCAGTAAAACTCGGGACAATTCGCTCGCCTTCCTCAGCACTTTTCCAATAACAACAATTTCGCCTAGATAACAGTCGCGCACGGCGTGTGACAGCTATGGTTAACGAGAGAACTTTACGGGGCCTATTATCTCGCAAAAAACCAACATCTCTCACTCGCGCAACGACGACGCGCGGGTTCGAGTGCGCCGGGACGTGTTATGACAAGACCACCGTCGTATATACGAAACTACGTGTCGGGAATATCGACTTGTCGCGGTGAATCGACGTAGTCTGGAAAATCAACAAGAAATAAGGAGACCTAATGGCATTTGAGTCCGTCGGGATACCGATGAAGATACGGCCGTGTGGATCGGTCCCACGATGGCGCGCGTGTTTTACAACGGGATTTTTAGAATCGACTTTTTCCCCACACCTGACAGCTACCGAGAAAGAGCTGATTGCGAAAAGACGAGATCTTATTTTCTCATTGATTCAGAATGGATTTAGTTTCGGTGGGAATTTCATTGGAGCTCGCATTGAAATAAATATTTCATAATATTAAAAAAGGGATGGAGTGAGAGAGAGAGAGAGAGAGAGAAATTCGCGCGCGCAGAGAGTGTCATCTCTATTGCAGAAGAATCGGTTCCAGGAAAGTATCGATACATATATACGTTTTCGCAAACTACGCGGCATATTATTTATATGCGCATGGAACGACTAGTTGCTATCCTCACGGATTTTTACATTTCGCTAATTGTTTTCTCGTGATCCTTGAGACTTTTTCATTCCGGATTAAAGAGAGTTCTTTCCTCTGCGCTCGGTGAATGTAATAATAAAGCCACGGATAATCCTCACAAGCGCGTTTATATTTATACCGCTACGTTGCTCCTTGCATCTGGGTTTATTAATTATATAAAACGAAACGCGCGCGCACAGAGCATCTCCCTGCCCCTCTCCAGCATCTTATTCGCGGTATTATTATATTTTCGTGTACTCTCAATTTCTCTTTTTCCCTTTCTCTTTCCCTTTTCTATTTTCTTTTTTAATTGCCCGAGCTACATTCGAGGAAAATGTGCTCTTTCGGGATTCTCTCGAGATATCCCGAGTATTTTACCCATCCGTTACTTCACTAGATTACAATAATATCACGATAACTGCATGTCTTCTTGATTTAGATGTTTCCGCGAATACACTTCATATCCGTGTAATTCTTCGAGATCTTTGCGAAATATCTAATTATGTTTCCCATACGTCGCAATTGTGCGCCTCAAAATAGCGTCGCGTTAACTTTGGCAAACCTGTGCAGGAAAAGGTCACCAGAATTCTGTTAAGATAACAGGATTTTTGATTAACTTGAAGATTGCAAGTCTGGTTAACTGGGAATCTTATTAACTTGAGCATTATTCTGGTAACTTCAACCGGAATTTCCGGTTCGTTCATATTTTATCAGACATTTGATCGATCCAACCAAAAATTCTTTCTCTTCCGTGTATTTATCGACATGCGTATCCCTCAAAATTCTCGAGCACGTCTGCGTTCCGCGTCTGGCAACTTCGGCAGATCTCGGCTTCCTCGCATCTCTCTTTCTCGAGACGGGGGAAGGGAGCGAATTCTTCCCGATTTCTAGTCATGACTAGGATCGCACACAGCCACGCTCGCGGGCTTTCTCCGGCACGTTTTGTGTCGCGGGCCCGCGCGATCCGGGGGGGCTCGCGAAAAATCGCGGAGTGAAAATGCCGGGGCCCGATCCGGGATCGAAGATCGATGGCGATTTAAGCTCCCTCGCCGCGTGACCGGAGCGGCGCGATACGAGACCGGCCAGTGGAAAAGGGGTCGCAGCGTGTTAACAGCGTTGGTTAACGCAGCTTTGGATTTCAGATTTTTGCGTCACGCGCGCCGTCCGTTTTTCTCCTTATCCGCGCTCCCTTTTCTTGCCGCGGCTGTCTCCATGCGAGAAACGCGAAAGCGGCGCGATTTCTGAAATACATTATTCCTGCGCCGCGCGCTCGCGACGGCGGCGGCGGCGACGCTGACCCACATAGGCATTTTTCCAATTCCGGCCGTGGCCGATAGAAAGCCGCGCGGCGCGGCCGTTTGTAGAAAGTTCCCATATTATTTAGCATTCGGTCGCGCCAGCGAGCGCGCGCCATTGGCATCGGTGAAAATTAGCAAATAATAATTGGGGCCCCGTTGTTGTTGCTGCGCAGAATACGTGCCCGCACGTGCTCGTCGGCTTTCCATGTGATTTGTTGCGCGAGTTTCTTTATGATGGGGCCGATCGCGCAACGCGCGGATTGTCCCTGCACGGGGATAGGTTTCGAGGAAATTCGCGGGGCCGAAGCGACAATGACACGAAAATAAGTCCACGCGAAGAAGTAGCGCGCAGCGACGTGGATGGGTTTTTAGTTTTTGCATTTCCGCCTCTGGTGGTATTTTAAATCGGAGATTTAAAGCGCGCCGCGTCGAGATACGTAATTGCCTTCGTAATCGCGCGGTAGTTAATAATAATCCTCAGCCGATGACCGACTGGAACGTTGAAAAATTGTCGAATAAACGCGTTCTCGACGGGCTCGTCTCGACTCGTTGCCGCGCGCGCGCGATGTTATCCCGCATGATAAAATATTCCAAAAGAACCTCATGAATTCGACGTACTCGCGAAGCGTAGTCACGGTGGATGAGTACGATTAGAGGGAGAATCGGTTTCCAAATGAAAAACTCGCTCACTGACTCACTTCCGTTCGTTTCAACTGCACTGTCCGTTTCTCCCCCTCGTCGAGGAGGAAGCTCTTTTACCCCCGCCCAACCTCCCTCTTACCCTCCCCCTCATTGCCACGCTTTTTATTAATGCCGTTAATATTAATGCCAGACGTCCGTAATTATCGTTTTAGCGTTTTCCCATTACGCTTTCCGTATAATTCATACTCACGGCCGTTACGACCTCGCTGTTATTCGTAAACGAAGACATCCTCGGTAACACGACTCGGCGACCGACAGACAGAGACTCTCGCGCTTAGTCTTTACACACACACACACACACACACACACACACGCGCGCGCAGCCTTAGGGGAGGAGTGAAGATAATCATTATAATAATTGCACTCTGTTAATCGCAAGCACGAACGACGAGCGCATTAGAGACGAGTGATTACGTTTTGCAGACGAGGCTGTCGTCGTTGCTGAAAACCGCCGAGGATTTACACATCAAGGGTCTCGCCGAGGTCAGCTGGCGCAGCGATTCCGCGCAAAACGACCTGAACAACACCGGCCACAGTCCCGGCGCCGCAACTCCCGGCGTGGAAACTGTCTTGAGGGAAGGCGACGCCGATGAGCCACCACCTCCCAAACAGAGACGCAGGGGCCGTCCGCCTCTGGACGATCCACCCTCGGCGCACGACGTATTTACACCGAAAATCACGTGTATCACCGGAAATGTACGCAACGCAATACGAATTCTCTCTTATCACATAGCTGCGTGGGCCGAATGGCTCGTGCCCGTAAGGATCGGTGCGATTAAAAGAGCATGCAGCTGAGCCAAAATTAGCGGCTAATATTTGTCATTTCGTAAATATTGCAACAACGCGTCATATTTCTTGTACAGTCGTACGAATATTGCAATTACAAAGCGTAATTTCTTTCAATTTATTGCTGCAATTGCATTTTGAACGAAAAATACATTTTGTGACACTTTTAACATTAAGGGTCGATTGTTCCAGCCTCTTGATAACCTATTTGAAGCTAGTTAAGTCATATATCTTCGTTTTTTCTTCAAATTAGACAGATATAGACACATGATAACTGTTAGGTAGATTACCAAGAAGTTGGAACAATCGGCCTTAAACATTCCAAATACAGTTCTCGCCTAACAAAGTTACTTTCAAGGTGTTTGTCAGAAAGAATTGAGACTCAAACATGAACGTGAGATATGTTGTGAGACGCGTCTTGCTCCGCTACAATGGCACCGAGTCTTACGAGCGAATCAATTATTGTAAGAAGCACATACGAGCTGACCCATGTCGTGAATGTAGATATTCGGAAATTTTGTCAGACTCGCGGCGGGTATTACGCATACGGGCTAACCACGCGCGACTCTAATGTGTCACGTCGAACCTTTTCCCAGGAGGAAATGATGAGCGAAGGCGGTGACCACGAGAGTTGGGACGACGACGTGATGATGAATGAGAATAACGAAACGCCACTGCCTGTGGTAAGGACCATTCATTAGATACGTTTTTATCCTGTTCTTTTTGCACGCACTCGCGTAATTAAATCATCCATTCTGCGATTATTAAGAGAGAGGTCTCGTTCTACTTTCTCCTCTCTTTCCCCCCACCTTCTCCCTCCCTCTTTCACCGACATGAATAGAGATATTTTCGCAAGAATTGTTCAATGTTTGATAATGCCTTTTGTACTTTTTTTAGCTGTCTTACATGTCAAAGGATGACAGCACATCTGATCAGGAAAAGAAAGGTATATTTTAGTGATAGCTTTTCACTAATTTCGATTTAAGTGTTGCTCATAAGTGTTGTTATCGTGCGTATTGATGTTTAACTTAATCGTACAATGTTCGTTGCAGCGCCTAGCACCCCATCAAACTCCAACGCCACAAATCCATCGATTCCCGAGCAATTCCGAGACGTGATAAAGATGAACGATTATCTGACGACGGGTCGCAGACAGGAGTTCTGGGAGGAGCCGTTCACGCGACGCGTTATGGACGCGATCAAGAGCAAAGAACTGGAGATGAAGACTGCCGCCGAGATACTCGGCGTCTCATACGGCACCCTCTACGGCAGATATCGTGACAGTTACGGTTGCCTTAAACACCCGTACAGGTAACGGACACGCGCGACGATTGTAAATACTCGGTAAAACTAAAACTTTAAAGCACGGGCCGAGAAATGTATTATAAGTTGAAACCGAGTCGGCACGAGCGGGGGATGCGATTTTCACCAAGAATTGGCGAGGAATTTATACTTGTAGAGTGCGGGATTTTTGGTCTGAGCCGGGCCCTGCCGAAGTGCTGGCGAAGCTGCGGAGGAAGGAGATAACGTTGTTTCGCGCTGCCGAAATCCTCAACGTGACCGTCCATACACTGGCGACGTACCTGGCGACGTTGCAGGGTTCGGACAGGGTATTCATAGCCAGCGACGGCCCGGCGCCCGGCAACATCGACGGCAACAACGAGCCGACGGAGAACAGCGAGTCGATGAACGACATCCTGCAGAAGATCAACGCGACCGCTGCGACTGCGGCGACGCTGACGACGACCACGCCGATCAAGCGCGAGGGCGGCGGCTACATCGAGGTGCCGACGGCGGTGCCGAAGGCCGCAACGTCCGTGCTGGAGAACAATCCGGACATCACGATCGTCAAGACCGAGAACATGCTGCGCAAGCGTGAGTACACGAAGGTGTCCAATACCGAGAACAACAACGCGAAACTGATGAGCGGCGGCGCCGTCAGTGAAGTCAGCCAGCAGCAGCAACAGCAGCAGCAACAGCAGAAGCTCGCCGACCCATTGTCCCTGAGCAATGACAACAGCAAACCCTAACTATTCAGACCCTATCTGACACCAGCGAACCCGCGAGCACCACCGAGCGCCAGCTACAGATCCGACCTGTGCCCGCGCAGTTTCTATTCCAACGTGTTTACTCGCTTTCTCACGAATTTTCATTTGAAATAGAGAGGCAAGTGAGGGCGACGGTTGGTGCGGATCGTCATCGCCTCGTCGTCGCCTCGTCGTCGCTGTCGCCGTCGCCGTCGTCGTCGCCCATGTCGCGCTAGGGCGCCGATATATCCCGCGCACGCGGGTTCGTACTCCGAAAGAGTAGCTTTAGACAATCTCGCGCGTAATCGGTCGTTGACGATTAGGGAAGGGCCGTGGCTGGCCGTCGGGACGGAGAGAGAGAGAGAGAGAGAGAGACACAGAAAGACAGAAAGAAAGAGAGAGAGAGAAGCGAAAACTCTGGCGTACGGCCGACTCAGACCCAGCAAAACGAAAGTGCCACTGCAAAGCGTGTGGAATCACCGCAAAACGAATAGAAAGAACATAAAGACAGAGAGAAAGGCAGGAAGAGAGACGGGAAGGAAGGAAGAAAGAGAGAGAGGAAAGAGAAGATGGAGACAAGCGTACGCTTCGTCGTGCCTTGGAGTCGGTCGCGATTCTCACGGATGCGACCACGGCCCGCCGGTATTTTCCACGTTGATGAAAAAGGGTGTTAATGTCGCGCGATATCCGCTCCCCGGCCCCTCGAGGAGTTTAGTATACCAGCGTTGTTGACGTTGAAATTTCTCCCGTTTTACTTCACGAATCGGTTCGCTTTGATCTACGTCGGTGGCGCGCGCGCGCGCGCGCGTGTATACTTGCATGCACGCGCGATCTTGGCCTTCGTGAGGAAAAGGATAAAGAGCAAGGAAACAGAGGGAAAAGCGTATAATAAAAAAAAAAGTTCAATCGAAGTTCCTTTTGAATAACGATGTAGAGATGTATTATTGCAAAAGAATGCCTAGACTATTTTCTGCCGCATGTGTCTGTATGGTAGCACGTAAAGAGCGACAATATATTCACCACAAGTAGATCCATCATAGTAAATACACCATGGCGTGAGAGGTGACGGTCCTTCGACGTAGATGTTCCTCGTGCGATCGTCGTTAGGATGCATGAACGCGTTTTCAGTTGGTGTTCCGTACGATACACGATACGAACGTGGGAATTTAAATCATAAAAACGTGTACTATTGGAAGGGGGCGTTCAATTCGCGCGTCGCGAAAGGAATACGCAGGACAACCGAGTCTTTTACAGAACAAGGCGACTGTAGATAGTATTCAACCACGACATTTGTATTTAGAAAAGTATTCAAGAGCGTGGAAATCGTCACTTAGTCGGGTTGCAGAGTATCCAATAGTAAATCGTTTATGATTTAAAACGTAACTTCGATGCGATGGAAGCCTTAACACGTTAAAATACCGGTCTCTCTGATTTCGTTTACCGATTCGCCGACGAGATTGATTTCGCGTACGCGTTTTGCTAGGGATGGGATCACGTACGCCATTGGATCTAGTATCATCGATATTGTGCCCGCGGCGTGTTTTCTCAAAACATCTTTTGTGACTAGCAAACATATAAAGTATAATTGAAATCTGTGACCAAGCCAAAATGTAAGTCTCTTCAGCTATGACAGTATTATAATAGGAACACTTTGGCAACTTCTTCGAATTTTTACTCGTTGAATTGTAACATAAATTAAAGAAAACTTAAAGAGAACAAACTGACTCTCGCATTTGCTGAGAAGTACCAAGTATCGTTATAATCATTTCAAAATTATTGGTTATATTTGCTCGCGGGTTGTGAACACGCGAGAGAACATACTGAACCTAGTCCCATCCCTAGTTATCGTATCTTTTGGAAAATGTCGTGTGAAGCGACCAAGTTCGGTTTTAAAACGGCCAGGCGCGATTGAGCGAAGACATTTGCAATCGGCTGCAATTTTGCATGTCGCGCGAGAGAGAAAGAGAGTTCTCGAAAAAATCGCGACGACTGCCTTCTTTGAGTATTCGGAACGTTTACGGGATTGTCTGTGTCTGCGCTTAAAATGGTACAATTCTATTTTCTTTCTCTTTTTATACCAGTATGTAACTCTAAACGTAGCGTAGGAACATTTTAGAGACATTAGCAATGTATGCGAGGAGTTTCCTTTCTTTTTTTAAGGAGGAACATTTTTAGTAGCTTTTATTTGAACGATAATCGCCGATTAATATCAAAGATAATTCGTTTAATGAGACAAGTACGAAATATAAACGTCCATTGTAAATATTGGTGCAATAGCGAAATGTGAAAATTAATATTATTTGGCACAAAAAGTGTGTGTCCGAGCACTATTTTAAGAAGGATCAAACAAAAACAAAGGAAAACAAGAAGAAATGGTAGTATGACTCTTTTACATCGTGCAATGTTTGAGTCCTCGTTGTAAAAAGCAAAGAGGACGATATCGAAGTAGCATTATCGAAAATGCCTTGTTGGTATACCAACACGCGATTCCGTTTAGTTTACTTTCTTCGTAAGCTTTCACACAGGCGCGCGGTGTCTAAGTTAAGTTAAGATGGAAAAGTGGAAAACCAGACTAACCGCGTGCTATATAAATATATACATGTGTACACGCACGCGCGTGTGTGACGCATGTATGTATAAAATCCATATTAGAATAACCGTACTCCATGAGACATTGACTGGAAATGAGTATTCCTGTTCGCTGAAGGTAAAACTAAGTAAGAACTAATAGTATAGTAGAGGTATCTCCGATGATATTTTTCGATGATATAAGACTTAGTTGCATTGGAGAGGATTTATTATCGCGGAGGGTACTTGTAAAGTAATCCGAACGTGCGAGCAATCCGAAGTACGAAACGCGCGAAGTCGCGAGAAGCCGACAGGCACGGCGTTCATCTCGTCGTCGGGAGCTTCGGTATGACGAGAAAGAGCGAAAAGACGGCTATATCGCGAGATGTGTAAATACGACAGTGTATGATAATAGCATGGAGAATACTTCGAGTCGCGCATTCTTTGTACACGAATGCGTAATGTATATGTACCTACTCTCTTTAAACGGACCCTGAAGTCGACTGACTACTAAGGTAACGAAAAGGAAACAAAAGAAAAACCGAAGAAAAATACAAAAATAAGGGAGAAGCGTAACGATAAGTATCGAGATACTCTCGATTAAGTGTGAGGCGCACTGTCAGTGAGACACACACATGAGACACACATACACACTGTCACATACGCTCACAGGCACACAGTTGTACGTTGCGGGCTCTACGAGAGAAAGTATTTTCGGCAGACTTGCCGATGACTTATCTGACGAATGAAGTACTCTCTTTAGTCTACTTTGTATATTTAAGGAAATATCGTTTTGCCATCGGACGCGAAGAGCGAGGTTTTTCGATTACTTTACGAGTGCTCCGGCTCGATTATTTTTATCGTATATGATATCATTTTATATTGTACGCAGAGCAACACACGTCGCACGTTTAGAATAATTTTATTCGTATCTCTTAAAAAAGTACCGGCAGAGAAATGAAAGGAAAAGATCTGTTCATCCTCACTCTTTAATTTAATATTTTCATCAGAAACTCATTGCGTCTTATATTGAGCTTTCGTATTAAGCAAGAGATAGCAACTTCTCTCTTTTTTCTCCTCTATATATTTTTCTTTCTTTTTTTTTTTTTTGAAGTAAAATAAGACTAAAACATACCAAATGTGAGAAATGTAAGGACAAGTTTTGTTAGATTAGTATCTATCGCATATCAAGGAAGCAGAAATACATGCGCTGAAACACTCTGTATTTGCCTACGGCGTCCGGGTAGGTTTATCTGGGACGCGCGAGACCACTTTTACTCTAGCAAGAGTATACGACTAGAAGTATTAATATTTAATAATAATGATCCAATACAAATTGTCCCGAATGGATGGTCATGTTTTTGAGAATCCACGCTGAGCCATGGAACAAATGAGAATCATTTAAAATCTTATTGGGAGTATTTTAATTTCTTTGTTATATATTATTTTATTATTATTATATTATTATTATATACACTATATTAGTTCAAGTTTTTTTAAGTTTATTATATGAAGCTAGGGAGATCTCTAGATAGAATTTATCTCGACGATATGTGTGTGTGTGTATACTATACATACACACATATATATATATGTATATATATATACACACACATACACATATACATTTATTGAGGCATATGATCTTTGTGTATTTTCTATTTTTATTCAACACACATATACACATGTATGGATATGTGTAAATTTCCTTTTTTTAACGAGAGCGCCCGCGGATTATTATTAAAGTACAAAACGTGTCAGTCTCTCGATTCTAATTCGGGACGCGTGTCGTAGAGCGACGCTGTTTGTAAGCGCGTGTATGCCAAATCGTATGCTCAAAGACTGATGGCCATTCATTTGGAGGTTCTTGTATCATAAGCACACATCGGGTGCAGCATTATTGTTACGCGACGGGCGAAAGGGAGAGAGAGAAAGAGAGTGCGAGAGAGGGAGAGTTAGCGGGTGCGTGATCGCGACTGCATTGTACGACAGGACAAGACTAGCCTATTGGCGAACGATGCCGCGCTTTTGAAACGCGGTCGTCGTACCATGAGACTAAAAAAAAATCGATATCATAATTAATTGTGTCGTTTGATATAAACGAGTGACGAGTAATAGTATGTATCATCGTTTTATACACAACCTTATTAATATCTTCGTACACTATGTACATTCCTAGTATACACGCTCTTCATTGTCATTACACGTTGCATTACACGCGCATAACGGAAGAAAAAAAACGCATGGACCTATTATACATATATAAATATAAATATATATATATAAAATATACATATAAATATATTTATAATAATTATATATATAGCTATTCCAAAACGGACCACCGCGACATCGACATTACGGAATGATCATTAAATTAATGCAAGTGAATTCATTGACGACATTACGCGCGCGCACCATCATCATCATCATCATTATCACCATTGTCATCATCGTCACCATCATTATCACCATTGTCATCATCATCATCATCATCATCATCGTCATCTTCATCATCATCGGTGATACGACGTCACACCCGCGTTCGCACGTTTCGTTGGATAATACGCCGGTTACGGAGTGTCTCATGTATAACACGCACGAACAGTCAAACCTGTCGACCTGCCTGAAGTGTTTAAGGACATTTTTAGGGTTTATCACACATTTGAGCGCAATAGAGAGAGAAAATATATGAATATAGTTTTACAAGATGGCTTAGCCGGCCGCCCCCCTTAGTTTTATACCTGAGACACAGAAAAGGCTGAAGCGACTATAGACGATAATACTTGAAACTACTTTAACCCTGTGTAAAGTTACATTCTTTCACCGATGAACGATCACTGTACACACACACACACACACACAAACACAAACGTGTACAGCTACAGGACAGGCAACACTCACTAAACCATAGGCACACGTACACGCATCTTCTTGAGCTCATTTATCCCTAAAGACTTTGTACCAATCTTCTTTTCACTTAAGGCCAAATCACACTAGCGATTGGCGATTGACGATTGATAATTAAAGATTAGATTTTAACGAATCAACAAGCTTCAGCCTTGGCTTGCTTTGTTCCAATTGGTCAAGTTCCAATCTTCAATCGTCAATCATCTATTGCCAATCGTTAGTGTGATTTGGCCTTTATGCTTATTCCTATCAACTTTGATTAACTTAATCAGCTGATTATTCCGACGGAATTGATCAATCACATTTCTCGTTAGTCAGAATTGACAGATGCGATTGGTTAATTCCGTTGGAATAACTAGCCGGTTAAGTTAACCAAAGTTGGTAGAAATAGATATTAGTCCGATATTTCGAAATTAAAGAGCGCGATAACGGATACGAATCGAAAAAAGAATCGACGTCGCGCTCTTAAAACGCGGAATGTCGCTTCTTAGCCAAAGTTAGAATTTGCGTTTTTATCTTTAGTATCTTCTCATCCTTGTCTCTAATTCCTTTTCCTCCCTCCTTTTCTCCTTCATCCACCTGTATAGCACACACACACATACACACACACACACACTCACTCACATATATATATATATATATATATATATATATATATATATATATATATATATTTGTGACATGTTACAACGTAATTGCTATTAATTTTAATTATGATTTCTCTGAAGTATAAATATATATATAAATATATATATATATATTTACCTTTAAAATAATCGTGGTAATTTTTAGTCTTAGAAGAACAATATATTTAGTGGATAGAGATTAAAGTATACATACATAAAATTATATATATGTGTATGTATATGTATATACATATATATATATATATTTGTATATGTATATGTATCCATATTGACAAAGTAATTATTGAGATCGCGATTTAGAAATTGGGATCGTGCGCATACAATGCCCTGGACGACAAGCGGTATATTTACCGTGAGAATTATTAAGGCTCGGGTATTATAGACGGTGAAGACACACATACATGCAAGCAACCTCGACCGATCGAGGAGCGCTCTCGCGAAGAATATTCATTGATTGAACAAAAGGAGATCAGTAAGTGTAAATGTTTGTAAACAAATTATGAAACATTATTTGTTCAGTGCCTACATATTTACACAGTAATAATAAAGATGAAGATTAGTGAAATTACCAGACTTGTTTCAGTCACAGATTCTCTCTCTCTCTCTTTCTCTTTTGTTTTTCGCTATCTTGTCGTAATATTTGGAAATAAAAAAAGAAATAAAATTTCTTGTGATCCAATGTTGAATCGTATTACTTGAAAATATATTACGCATAAAAATTAAAGGAAATATTAACTCGAATACGAATAATAGATAAAATTCAACAGTTTATAATCAGCAGAAAATGTTAATAATGGAATAGTTTGGAACGCATTTTACAACTTGAAACATCTCTAGTTTTCAGATATATTTTCGAATGCGAAATTGACTTATTCATTACAGTGCTGCACGAATATTAATCGAGATTCGTTAATGTTAACATTTTTATTGAAGTTTGTGAAGTGAAGTAGCACGTGAATGAAACTTTACACCGTAAATCATATTTGCACCATTTGAAAATTCAGATCTTTCTCTTTAATTTCCATATCTATGGTATAATTTCAATAAGATATGCGTCGAGTTATTCATCATTGAAGCAAAAATGTCTTCGATTTTGATTGTTTACAGAAGATGAACAAATTAACATGTTTTTATTGACAAATAAATAGAAAGTTAAATTAAAAAGTAAATTAAAAAGTAAATAAAATTAAATTTTTCTCTGTGGAAAAAAATAAATGTTTGTTTTTGAATTTAAAAAAACTCGACTGCAAGATGAAGTTTGAAATGAAACGATTATTCAATTTCTCATTTTATTTTATATATTTTAATGAAATACGATAATAACGTTATAATCATAACATACTGAAAACTAGAGAGTTTAAATTATAAAATGATCGAATTATCTCATGATCATTATTTTGTCTTAATTACAACTCCTTAAAGTTTGTCTATTTTTCATGATCGAGAAAAGTTAATTTAATGTTGTTAATTTAATTATAAATAATAATTTATGTATAGTGTGCGAAAGAGTGTGTCGGACTTGCCGTCTCAAGCAATATTTAAAAATAAAAGGCTTTTGCCTTACTGTGAAGTCGTACAACTTTAAAACAATAAGAGTCTTTGACTCGCTGCTGATTCATATTATTTAAAAATAAAAAATACATTGATGATATCCTTGAATTATATTACGATTTCGATTTTTCATTAAAATTAGTAATGAAGAAAACATCGGAACCAAAAGAGCCGCAAAAAAAGAGTTAGGTTTAATTCTAAAATAATAGATTTAAGGGTCAGTTTCACAATCTTCGGTTAACTTAACGAGCTGATTAAATGTGCACAGTGATTAGTTAATTCTGGTCAATCCTATTTAATGACAAATACGATTGGTAAATTTATATGGAATAACCATATAAATACCATATAAATAAATATTTAATGACACATACGATTGTTAAATTTATATGGAATAACCATATAATTTATATGGAATATTTTAATGGAATAACCAGCCACTTAAGTTAACCAGAGATTGTGAAATTGGCCCTAATACCTGTTTCCAACACCATTAGTTAATCCTCTGCTGACAACGTGAAGTTGTGGAACATATCCAGCAACGTATATTTGGGGTCGGATCCGATCCAAACGTTGTCAGCAGAGAGTTAACTTAACCGGCTGATTATTTTAACGGAATTGACTAATTAAATCTGTCAATTCTGACTAACAAGAAATGTGGTTGATCAATTCCGTTGGAATAACCGATCGATTAAAGTTGCTTTCCAACAAGAGACACAAGTCGACACAAGTATCATCCTATCTTTGTTACTCACTAAACGTGGAACAAAGGTTGCTTTCCAACAAGAGACACAAGTTAACACAAATATCATCCTATCTTTGTTATTCACTAAATGTGAAATAAAGATAGAATGATGTTTATGTCGACTTGTGCCTCTTGTTGGAAAGCAACCTAAGTTAACCAAAGTTGATAAAAACGGACATAAGTCTTGATAGATTAAAACATTTGAACCTTATTTAAATGAGATCCTTACCGCACTCGCTAACAGGTTTTACGCGACAACGTTGGATGGCACCAGGTAAGCCTGCAATATAGAGTTGTTTAGTGTAGCACAGATAATGCAGGATTCACATTGCGTCCGATGTCCGACGTCTGATATCCAATAAGAGTATAGCTTTCTAATATAGAATTCAACTATTTAAAGAACCTCAAGTAAAGAGAATCGCCAACTTGGTTACGTGACCAGCTGATTGGCTGGCATAAATATATACGGATTTAGACATTGCGACGCCAATGCAGAACAAATGCTTATATTTATATATATGTATATATGGTTTTGCATCGGCGTCGCAATGTCCAAATCCGTACATGTTTATGCCAGCCAATCGCAGAGTAGCTGAGTAGCTGGTCACATGACCAAGTTGGCGATTCTCTTTACTAGAGGTTCTCTACAACTCTCCATTGGAAAGCTGTTCTCCTATTGGATATCGGACGTCGTATGTCAGACATCGGATGCGGTGTGAATCTTCCATTAGTCTCGGTCTAACCGCCACGCCGCACAGTGGGACGAAACGAGAAATCGTGTTTCAAAATTGTCTAGAGCCTTCAAATCTGAGTCGATTTTAATGCGGTTTTTTTTTAATTAAAGCTTATTAAATTCTGAAGAAAGTTGTCGGGGCAGATTTTTTAATTTCATTTTTTTTTCAAAATGGGAGACGTAATATAGCGACTGAGAAACAGAAAGCACATTTAATGTGCTTTAATTTAACATATTGCGTAGGGTTATTCTGATTCTTCTGCTTTGAGTTCATATTTACGATTCCTAACTGCCAAAGTAACACAATCTATATGTAAAAAATAATGCCTTAGTAATTACATATTTTACATGTAAAGTATAATAATAAGTTGTGTTATTTATGAAAACATTTTCCGTGTGTTAAATTGGCACAAAAATTAAAATGGATAACTTGGAATATGTGAGATATATTAACTTAAAATTTAACCGAAGATTTTTTACATTGTCTTCATCTTGTGCGAGTATCCAGCGTGACTTTTATATTTTTAATACATCATTTTCTTATCAAAACATTGTATACAACATTGTCACATAATAAAACTTGTTTGTAAAACTTACACGTTATAAATTTCAAATATTTTATCACAATGTTGCGGATGGAATGCTATATAAAAACAAAGGAAACATTACAAATGTTTGTATCAACTGCATGCATGTTTTTATCATTCCACCCGCAACATTGCGGCAAAATAACAAATTTATAAGGTCTAAGTTTTAAGCAAGTATTTTATTATGTGACAATGACGGAAAAATGTCGTATAATCAAAAATTTTAACGTAGTGTGGTAGTGGCAGCTATCTTTGTTAATGCAAAATTCAGTGAAGTTCCGGCTTAACCGCCGTAACGTACAGACATATTCGAACACATTTGGACCTGTGATTTTTTGGAACATACCTTGGAATTTTCCAAATTTTTTTTCATATTATTTAGTAAATGATATGAGCCGTAATGACTCTAGCACATAGGACGCGGTAATGCTTACCGCGCAGCGGAAATTCGCGCGACAGCCAATCAATATGCTGCTTTCCGTAATAACCTTCTAGCTCTTAAAAAACAACATATTGATTGGCTGTCGCGCGGACTTCCGCCGCGCGGCAAGCATTACCGCGTTCTGTGTGCAGGAGCCATAAGAATAAGCCTAGAATCAAGAAAAAGAATAGATAAAAAATGGATGTACTAAAAATGTGGGAAATATTTTTTGATTACTTATCTGATGAAGATGATGAGGATAACTTCCAATCTCCACGGGAACATCATATAAAAATCCCACATTTTTTTGAAAACATTGTCGTAGCATATTCATTGACAGGTAAAAGAATTTGAAATTTTGCTGTACTATAATAATTTATTGTTTTAAGTTTATATAAATGTTCTTGCATTATATATTTTGATTACAATAAACTATATTAATATCATTAAAATAGATTTTAAATCTATCTTGTTTTGTCATCAATATGCCCTAATGGCATAATTTATTGTGGACTTGCACCTGCACGAGTCATGTAAAAACAATACAATATTTGAAAAATATAATATATATTTTAATGGTTATATAACTTTAATTAAGAATAAATAAAATTTTATTAGAAAACAACACCAGATGATTTTATAATCAATAATACAATTTTACAAAATTATTATCTCGTGTATTTGTCACGCTATTGTTCTGCCTAACCCACTGCTTGCAGTCGTGAGACAGCATTAGATAGCTTTGTGTTGTCATGAATCACATGATAGTAGTAGATGGTGATGTCTTATTTCTTCTCTAGGGAAATGACTCGGAGAGGTATTAGGTTAGGAGCGGTGCACTTGGACACGGTGCATTTGGACACAGCCAATCACAGCACCGTGTGATTAGAGACATTTGTAGGGTCCCTTGGAACAGCGACTTGTGATTGGACTGTGTCCAATTGCCCCGTGTCCAACTGATATACACCCATTAGGTTTGTTCGCGTCGCATGCCCCAACGTGGTCCTACTCGTTCCAACGCACTCTGATTGGCTCACGTCACCATGCGGACCAATCAGAGTACGTTGGAGCGAGGAGGAGCACATTGGGGCATGCGACGCGAACAAACCTATTATCGGAAACACCCATAATCGCAGCCACAGTCGCAAGTCGCTAGTGTGATATGGCTATTGCCCTAGTTTACATCGTACACTTGATACGCGTAAATAGTAACTTTCTATTAGATAATCTTATAGCGTGTTCGACTGGCCCTGGGTTAATCGCTCCGAGAGCGATTAATGACGTCATAAGTCTCTACTAGCCAATCATAAAGTTTATAAGCACTTGTTCGACCAATAAACGTAGACTGAATAACCCAGAGTGGGTTAACCCAGAGCCAGTCGAACATGCTATTAATATCGACGATATATATAAACGATATATTAATACTCATCAACAAAACGTATTATATTGATTGAATGCGTCGCCGTTGATATGCATTGTCGATATTAAAATTATCTCATAGAAAGTTACTATTTAGTACGCGTATCAAGTGCACGATGTAAACCAAGGCATTAAGTGGAACACACTCTAAGTGTTCTCTTCTACACATAGGTGTTCTTTTTATCTTATAGCGAATTCGGTTGCTTGCACTAGTGTGCACTGAGTGCGCACTAAGGCTTGTTCATAGTATGTTATTATATTTAAAAATTGTCTTAAATAATTCTCAAATAAATTCTCAAATATTTTTAACCATAATATGATATGTATAACATCCGTACGAATCATTTTATTAGTTAAAATGTTTTTAAATATGTATTTAAGACACGATCTTAAATATAAGAATGTACTGTAAACAAGCCTTAATGCGCACTCAGTGCGCACTAGTGCAAGCTACCGAATTCGCTATTACACACCCCACTTTTCTCGTCCCACGTGGGTTATGTTATATTCTCGTTCTTTCTACTCCAACTCAGTTGCCGTGCGTACATGAAGAAGAGAGGTTCGCGGTGATCGGTTCAGTTGCATAATTTCACATTGCTTTATATGCAATAAACACGGGAAGCATTTGTATATAAATATATATGTATACACATTGTATAACCGCGGCCGAAATATTATAATCGTAACTAATCGGTTAGAGAGCCGGTTAAATTGTCTGACTGTATGGAGATGATGTATTCATTCGTCATGTTGCCGACAGTGTCGAACTCTTTTTTCCCGTTTAATCCTAGTCTTGACGATGAGATGAAACGACTATTCGACAACTGTGCTGCTAACAATGCAATAGAGAGTCGACAAAACGGTGAGTGTAACATGAACTTATAAATCTTATCGTGAAGTCGTGAAGTCACGTTAGTTAACGTAATTACTCATCCAATTACTTATTAAAGTCCATTATTTGCTAAAATAATATCGAACGATATTTAATGTTCGTCGACACACTAGATGACGCTGTTTATAGCGCTCAATTACGTCTCTAAATTCATTTAAACTTGTTTAAGTCGTGAAACTTATAGAAAGTTAATATTATCAGGCACAGGTATGTGTCCTAACATCCATTACTTACACTATCTCAAAAACTCCGATAAGTAAAGTAACTACTATATTGGAGCGAACAAGTCTTTCTGATTGCTCAATGTGTCCTCGGGATTGCCGTAAAAAAATGAGTTTCACTCCCGGTGGAAACGTTTGCAAAAATCGAATATATATATATTTGAATTTTGCGTCATAGGTGTTGAAAAAAACGCATGATTCATCGCCAGATTTAATACCATGTAAGATAAAAGGAAAACTGATACATAGTAATTATATAAAAGTTAACTAACGACAGAGATTAATCTCGGCATTGTGGGACTATTTTTTCAAATTTTTAATTCGGCTTACTGTCCAAGGAAATAATATAGTTTACCATGAAGTTGTGTAATCATCACGATTACAATGTCTGATGCAACAATTGTCCAGTATTGTTTCAATAATGAATAAATGTTCCAGTGCATTGAGCGTACACACGTTTTTTATTTTAACTTACATAATGCGCACCTATATAAGGATTATAAGAAGGAAAATAGAACTTTTCTATGCCAAACACAATACGACTAAAGATTTTTCGACGCGATTTTCGCGGCACATGTAAGTTAATTGGCGTTGACATTGAACACATCAGTAAACACGTATATACCGCGTTCGATTGATCCAGTGAAAAACCGCACCGCCGAAACAAAATCTCCCTTCGCATCTGGCACGTGCGTCTTATGATGTCGCGGCGACCCTTTGAAAAGCGGCCGACCGCCTCGGCCGCAAAGGCGAATGACGCATTTTATCAACGAAAAGACAAAAGCCTATTCACGCCGTTGCAAGGATTGTTTATAGCGTGCTCGATTTCTCAGGATTCCTGACGAACGAACCGACGATGGCGACAAAGTTTTCGCCGAAAGCATATCGCGCAGTTGTATATACAATTGTAAACCGCTAGTCCTCAAAACGACCGTGTGTTTACAATTCATAGCTTATCTAACTTATGATCTTCGTCTCTGCCTGCACTGAGGATGCCGAGGGCTGCGATTCTGAGGCTATAGAAAGTAAAAGATTCTCTGGCTTGTATTTCTTTCTCTACTCCCCTATTTTTCTCTCTTTTTTAATGAAAAGATAATTTATGACGCGCTTGAAAATTCTTTAATATTATACGTAGATTATTGCCTCTTTGCCATTTTCTTATTATAATTAGTAGTTATTCATTGTTATTCATAATCGTGTGTCGTACTTTATAAAATACTAAACAACAAACTGAAACATCATATATATCATATTTAAATATTATTATATATTATATGTTATATTTTTACGATGATACATTTTGTAGACTATTTTGAGATATATTTTTTAATTAATATAAATATAAAATAATATATATATATATATTATTTTGAGATATATTTTTTAATTAATATAAATATAAAAAATATATATATACATACATATATATATATATATATATGTATATATGTATATATGTACTTTTCTATATACTTTTCTATATACTTTAATATAAGTACTAATATATATATATACATACATACATATATATATATATATATATACATATATATATACACACATATATATATATATATGTATGTATGTATATGTATATATGTATATATGTACTTTTCTATATACTTTTCTATATACTTTAATATAAGTACCAAGTTATTTAATATAAGTAATAAGTTATACAACTTATTAATTACAGTTGAAGATGTAATGGAAGAATTTCGACTTAACGGCCGCGATTTTGAGTATTGTCCCGATTTGGACCCAGACGTAGCGAAACAGATCACACCTCGACGAAAGAAAAACAAGAAACCATTACCTACTGTGTGCGTTTTTTGCCGAAACAACGGTGAAGAAGAATCTTACTATCGAAAGCATCTACTGAAAGACGATGACGGTCGCGTTCGATGTCCCGTTCTCAGGTAAATATTGTGTTTATTTCGCTGTACATTCTTCTGTAATTATCAGAAACTTTTGCAAAGCAAGATTGAAAATTAAGAATTTTGTTCATAGGTGTACTTTTGCTTAGATATTAATTACCTTCGAAAAGATATATCAAATATATAATCAAGAATAATTTATGTAAAAGTAACATCCTTATAAGTGAAGACGTAACATAAAAACAACCGAGTGTTAAAAATAACGAAGAAAAAGCTGTTTTTTTTTTGACAATTTAGTTTGTGTAGTAATTATTCTGAAAAACTTGTATACAATGCTCTTATAACTGGAGAAGCAAAAGAGAGAATCCATATCTATTTTACGTCCCATTCGACTCTCCAAATATTTCCATAAATGTTATCTATGGTCTCTCATGATATTAATTCTCACGATGCTTGAGACGTCTACGAAAAACAATTTTCCGGAATATGATACTCGGTATCTTTTTACGTCAACTCTTCACATACTACATCAAAAAGAGAAATAAGAGCTTTTTGTTCCACAGGGCTTACACGTGCCCGATCTGCGGCGCATGCGGTGACGAAGCCCACACGGTTAAATACTGTCCAAAAGGTCCTTATAACCCTAATTCCATAAGCACGGCGAACGCCTTCAAACTCCTGAGGAATTCGATGGGCAAGCGTCGTGGCAAGTAAGTGGATGAAAGAATTTACGGACGGATAATGTTCTCGTTCTAAGAAAAACGAAAACTATCCGTGCTATAAACTTTGTACAAATAACTGAATTTGTTACCTAATCATTTAGCTAACGAAACAATTGTATAAAGATTTTGTTTGTATCAAATAATGTTTAAGGAAGATTTCTATTTTTAACACTTGTGCAAAAATAAAAAATGTTAATAAAACAATAACAAATCTAGTTTTTTGATTTTTATTTTATAATTATAAAATTTGTAACTTATATTCTCAAATTTAAAAAATACCCAAGGTCACAAATTTTCTTTCTCCTACACAGTCCTTTACTCAGTAATGCATAATTTTACTCAGTAAATTAACTTTTTATTAGGAAGGAAGAGAATAAGAAGCTCTTCGACCACTCTGAATTATATCAACCCACAGGCAAAGACAATATTCGTATGCACGAATGAGAACAACTGGACAATGGTTCGCCGTAACATCTAGAATATTGTTCGCGTACAATAATTCATTTTTGTACTTAATTAACACTTACGTTTATCCGTATATGCTGACAACACTTGGTACAATCTCGTATTTTCGCCTACATACGTTGTAACATCATTCTCAAAACGAAAACCAAGTTTGACTATATAATCAACAAAGTTTTGTGTCGTTTTATGGCTCTTGCGTTTTTTCAGTCACACAGTAGAAACTACGCTGCTGAAAGTGAAGTGATTTTGAACGAGCAGTTTAAGCGCACTTTTTAGAGTTTGCGCGATCGAATAAGATGAAAACTATTCAGCGCGTACACGTCTGCGTTGTAACAATGGTAATATTGTCTCAATGATAATACTATCATTAGCGATTATTAACAGTTGATCTGAGTTAAATTCAGTTAAATCAGTAAGACAGAGTGATTAAACACGCGGGAGAATTCTCAAATTCTCTTTCTAACTATTTGATTGTACTATGTGTTACGTAGGCATAGGCATAAGTGGCATAGCTCTATTAAGGTATTTGATATCTTTTACAAAAAGCTGAACATTTCTGAGATAATAATATCAAGAACGCTTGTGGCGTATTTGATTTCTTGAACTATTAGGTTATAATAGAGCCATATTTCAAAGATTCTTTATTTATATCTTAATGAGTCGAAAAATGCACATATGTTCTTTCTTCCTCACATGTGTGCCAATAAATAAATGCATTGAAGAAATCGCGAATTCTCTTGAAAGTATCTGAGAATATATCGTTTAATTGTGATTTACTAAGAAACAAGGAGAGAGATGTTTCTTTGCCTTAGTATGCCGACAATTTGACTTCCAAATGGTGATTTGGACAAAGATCGTGTATAAAATTTGCTCACTACACGTCATCGGACAAAGAAAATCGCGTTTTCTAATGTCTTGACTTTGGAATGAAACAATAATAACCTAAGATAGAAAGAGAATATAAAACTTTATCTAGACACTTTTACGTTAGCAGTATTATTGCTTATATTTTCCAGTTGAAAATTTATTTCGTAGCATATATAAAAGTTGATACCATTCGCTTCCACTTAAGAACATGCGAATCATTATTTTAATTTATTTTAATTTATTTTTCACTGTGACATTCAGCGCACGGGACGTTTCGACGATTGTACAATTTATCCATCTCGATATTGCATCTTATTTCGTAAATGCTACTATTAAAACTATTAATTTTTCAAATTTACTTTTTGCGCTATTCGTTTTCTTTCATCTACGCTTTTGGCGAGTTACTTTGATGATAATAATATGTGCCTTATGAAATGTTCAGTTTTTAAACTTTGTGATATGTTGTACAATGCGCATTTTTCATCTGCAGTTTTTTAAAACGAGCTTAAAATTCATATTTGATAAAGAAGCATATCGACTGATATCGAGCGTCTTTCAGAAAAGTAACGAGAGAATATTCTAGTTTAATTGATTGCTCGTGCTGAATGAGGCAAAATTTAGTTGAACATAACGTTAACGAGATTGTAAATTTTTTTATGTGCTTACAATTCTGATGTTAGTTTTTGTTTGTACAAGCGTGTCCTCGTCGTGAAATTCTGTGCCTTCTAATCACAAATCTGTAACAATGGGCGAGTTTTTTAATTCATCGATGGATTCATCGATGGATTCATCGATGAATTAGAAAATTCGCCCAACATCTCAAATGATTGTACTTCATCGAAAATTTTATGTGTCTAAATATATCTCCGAAATCAATTTTAATCCGGTATATTCTCATTAATGTGCGAAACAAACGGTTTTCAATCTCGCGTATTGTACATATTGGCATATTCAGAGGACATCGGATGTGAAGTGTGGTTACCGTCAGCCTTACCGTGATTCGGTCAAGGCCGTCGAGACAAAAGCATCCGAGTATGTGCGTTCGTGTTTATTACATCGTTGACTCTCGTTTCGCGGAGAGCAAATACTTGTTTTCAAAACGCGCTTCTTTTCGACGTCCTCCCGCGTTCTTTCGCGACAGGGCACGCTTTGCTTTCATCTTTAATACATTGTACAAAGAACTATATAAGTACAAAAAACATTGTATTAGTTGACTGTAAAGCGATAGATCAATATATTTTTGTATATTTTTATTTTGAAAGAAATATCAAGTTACTGAACTTTACATTCGTCAAATATAATGTTTCTGGTTATTGTTCTAAAAAAATTTATCTAAGTGCGTGAATATGTAAGAACCACAATTTTGTGAGAAAGTGTAATTTATTGTTTTCTTTTTTAATGAAGCTTTAGATGAGCTATTAGATCAACTCTAAGTTTTGTCAAAATGTTGAGTTATTGTTACAGATGAGAATTAATATCGGTTAAGATTTAATAGAAGAGTTTTTATTTTTTATTATATCATATATAGTGTTAAAATGTGTAAAAAGATGATATAAGTAAAAGTAAGTTAATTTAACTCGATGCTGCACACGCTGATCTAATTTCTTAACAAGTCAGATTTGTGGATACTTTATTCGATAATCAAAGTTAAGATAGTCAATATACTTTGATATTTCTCTAAAATTTACTTTTTTGGTATTTTTAGGTTACATCACGAATAATTACTATCAGTCTTTGAAACATTTCAATTCTCGAAAGAATTCAGAGTTAATTTTTTACTGGTTTAAATCGTAGCATAAATAGTTCACATAATTGTCCAATTGATTATCGTAGAAATACTTTTGATATAATTATATCAGAATGGCTGTGTATGTTTACCTAGATAACATAATGTCTAAAATCGGGATATAAAACATCTTAAAGATAATCTTTAAGACGCCTTAAAGATATGTTTACGTAAATCGTCTGAAAGACATCTTAAAGATGATCTCTAAGATGTCTTATGTCCCGATTTTAGACATTATGTTGTCTGGGTAGTTATTTAATTCATCTCGTACTTTTATGATTCCAAAGTCCATTTTAGATGATATACTAATTCATGGTAATATTTGAGGCGCCGAAATTTTGTATTTATAAGAAAATATTTGAGAAATTCGGGTTATATGTTCACAGATGTGTATATAACACGAAATGTAAACCTTCGAATCTTATATCACACGCATATAAAATCGCAGTGAATCCTGTTTCAAGTTCTGTCACCTTTTATAACGTCATATAGATAAGAATTTAATCGGTCAACAATGCATCACCTGATGCTAAACGGCGACTTTCTAGGAATTGAAATGTTTGAAAGATTTCTTAAGAGATATAAAAAATGAGAGAAATAAAAAGAGAAAAAGATATAAATGTATAAAATGTTAAAATATTACAGATGATTATGTACAGTGAATATTTCTAATTTTGTATCGTCATATTTGCGATGTTATTTAGTGCGTAAGAGTATTGCGAGTTCCTATTACGAGATAGTATAATTAATAGTACTCGTAACGTGCTAAGTTAAATTTCTATGATGTTATTAAAATGACACATAGACATGTAGTGTTTCTACGTGCATTTTTACTATATAGTTACTACAAAGAAAATTCATAATATGTGACATTCAAATAAATTATATTCAAAGACATTATTTAATGATGCGAGTATGTTCTCATATTTAAGATGTGCGTCTCATACTTGAATTGCACACGTAGCCAAAGTTTAGAATTACGCCGTCATATCGTATGATTCATAATGTGACGCGAGATGACGTTATGGTAATACGAACTCGCAGAGTCACATTCTCAAAGAGCAGCAGGTGATAACTATTGTAGTGGCACGTAAGAACATTACATACATATTGCAATTGCATATACAGAGACAGGAATTTGAAAAGGCCGTAGCAAGCGAATCTCATTCCGACACAATAATTCAATAATTTAACGTTCAGTTTGCACATTTTACAAAATTGTACAAATATTTATTTTGCCGTAATTTGCCTTCGAATTCTGTAAAAGCTTGCTCGTTTACGCGTCACCGTTTTCGAGTCCGCTTAATTCAAATTTAGCAGAACTCCGCTGTTTTGCCCTTTACAGTATCCAAAATACATGTTTGGTAGCTCGCTTGATCAAACACTTCGGATTTTTATTTTGTTATAAATCCGTCTATTCGGAATTAATCTTGTGCATTCTGAACGCATCTCCCTCGTACACGTTTACATTTTTAAGATCACACATTTTGGTGCAACCATAATCATCTTGCCATTCCAATTTTTGTATTAACTATTATGAATGATATTAATCTGTCACGCGCTATTTAAGTGTATTCGTACGCAGAATTGTATTATGTTCAATAATGTTTAATAGAGAAAATACCTGCATTTTATTGGTCATTTATTTACCTGTATTCCCGTGCAAGTCATACGTACTTTAAAGTATATACGTTTCATTCGATAGCATTTGGTATCCAACACCGTTGTGAACTTATCAGCAATCTACACGTAATACTTTCTGCTTTAGTGCATGAGTTGGCAATAAATCGTTAAATATTGCGTGACTAGATATTTCACGAACGCATAATGTACGAACGAAAAGACCGATCTCTAATAGTTCACTCGTTGACGACCTATTTTTATGCGAATCTTACTATTTTTTCAACTAGTATAGATTGAAGAAATTGTATCTATATTCTTATAAGTGAACTTGCGATTGTCGAGGGGAGAGGGAGGATCCATTAGACTTAATTTTAATTAAGTTCCTTTCTTGTGAACATTTAATTGATATCTTATGATTTTTATATTGATATTTTATAATTTTGTTTTCTCTAGAGCTGAAGAACAAAGAATATTACTTTAAAAAGAACAAAATATTTTATATATTTCCCAATTATTATACAGATAAGATGAGATATCGAAGGTTAAAATATTTTAATGATATAAAACAAATTGTTATTATATATTAGCTGTATATTAAGGAGAGCGTAATACGCGTTTCTATTGTTCAATTCAGAAAATTATTCAATATCAACTCGATGATATATGTATGTAAAAATGTTTAGTAATTATTATCTTTGACGTAACAACTACTGTGTAAGTAGGTCGCTCTTTGTATTTGATCACTTAAATGGATAGTTGGTCAGGCTGTGGGCAGTCATAATTTTATTGAAACGTAAAGTTAATATTTAGTTGTATTTTAATTGTAAGATAATAATTACTTATGTTAATTTATATATATATATATAATCATACACAATTTAATTTACGTATGTGTCTAATACATTGAGTAAGAGCAGATACATATACAGTATTGCAATATAACAAATTTCAATTTCTGTACACATAAAATGTGCGTTGTTAAATTGTAAGAAGTTAGTATTCATGCTCTTTCTCTATACTTTTGAGTACACGTTGATATGACGCGACACGGTACTATTATATTATTTTACCTTCAAAAAATTGGTCAGTGTAACAAAGGATACGCTATTAGCGTCGTATCTGGATCTCTTTCCCCATAAATAGGGGAACTCTAGCACATCCTGCATACATAAATGTGCGCTCGTGCTAAAAGTCGTTCAATAGACTGCGAGCCGTCAGATAATAACGACTCGTCATGCCATTGCGACTATTCGTGCTGGTGAATATCGCCGTCGTTATGACGCTTAGTGTCGCGTTTTCGGAAGGTGCGAACCACATCAGCTCCGATCAGATCGAGAGACCGATTATGATGCGACAGGGAATTCGCGCTTTTCTGCCGGGTCAAGATGCGATGTCGCTTGTCAGATCACCGTCTCTATTCTTCTTGCATCTGCTTAAGCACAAACTGCAGATTCAGAAGCTGGAGAAGATTACTACTACTACTACTACTACCACCGTTGCTACACCCACCATGACCAACAGCAGCAGAATTTGCATCTGCGTACCGTTTTATCAGTGCGATGCTAATCAGACCATCATCACCGATGGCACGGGAGTGATCGACGTCCGGTGAGTTATATTGATCATTAAAATTCGGTTAATCAGTATTTCGAGTCTAATCTTGAACTCGGCACTTGGTTCGACCGAACCGAGTTGCTGATACCGAGGTCAGTTTCTTGGGCGTTTTATAATTTGTACAATTGAAGCTCCTGGATTGCTGCAGAATCTTAGATTGATGAAATGAGAAAATATGTTAAAAATTTTTGCTTATTTTCAAATAAAAAACTATTTGTATAAATAGCTTGAAAATTAATGTGGCAAAATCATGAAGAAAAATAAGTTAAACAGGAAGGCTGTATCGCGTTAATTTTAGAGTTTCACGGCAGTGTGGGACCAGGAACTTATTAAAAATAAATCCATCATAGTTTTCGGAGATGTCCCGGACCCTTTGATGTCTGCTGTTACCTACCGAATATCACAATACCGACACCTCCAATGACGAGACCTCCAACAACAATGAGTACAACCAGAAGACCGTCGACAGTCTTCCCTACTGGACCTCCGAATCTCAATTGCATCTGCGTGGACATATCACTGTGCGATCCAAACGGGATAGTTACTATTTCCGGAGAGGGTATAATAAACCCACGAGGTGGTTATAGGCTGTGTCCCGGTGCCAACCGGGTCTGCTGCACAATATTGGCGACCACGAGTCGTCCCACGAACCCTCCGACCAGCCGTCCGACTACGATGACTCCCGCACCCACGATGACAACCTTACCACCTGGACAGATTCAGCTGTGCTTTGTGTGCGGTAATACCATTCAGTGCATCACCTGCGGAGTCATCATCACGCCCGGCGCGATAGATCCCAGATTCCCCTTGTCGCAGAGTGACCTCTGCTCGAGGAGTTTGACGAACGAACCGCTTTGTCAGGACGGGACTATGTCGTCCAGCGTGGAAGTTCTGGGCCCGTTGAAAAACTTAGGCACACCGCAGGCTTGCTACTGTATCAAGACCTGGATGTGTTCCGAAGATAATGTGGTCAATCCGGACGGTTTGGGTGTAATAGACTCGAGGTTCACCACGTGCTCGTCCGAGGACCAAGTATGCTGCCGTTCCACAGGGATGGATGTTCAGATCCTCCGCAGCGGCGATACCTTCCTGTCATCGCCCGAGCGTTTCATCGCAAACAATCCATCCAGCTCTTTCTCACAGACGATCTGCGGCATACGGGACGCTAGTTACGCATCGTGTAAGTACGGATCTATTGTATCTGCATCAAAGATAACCGGAGGTGTTGTATTTAAGTCTAGAATAAACTTCAGCCACTGTATCTGAGTCTCTTAGACGAAACACGAAACTGCTATGTCTAAACGAAGTATAAACTGTAGCCGATATATCCGATTTGAGCTTCAGCAATATGACTTGGACTGTCACTGACTTGACTCATATAATCATGGTAATAGTCGCCAATCTCTACAGCGCAGCCTTTTCCCGCTGACTCTGAAAATACTTACTTCGCCGAGTTCCCATGGATGGTCGCACTTCTGGCAAAGTCCGCGACCGGATCTTATACCTTCCAATGCGGTGCTTCAATGATCAATGACAGGGCCGTCCTTACAGCCGCACATTGCGTTGTAAAGTAACTATAGATCGAAAGCGTAAAGCTCTTTCTTACACACGTAACACGCAAAACATCAAATTAAAAAGAAAGAGAAAAGAAGGAAAGACTTAACTTTCCCCTGTCTGAATCATTTCACAGTCAGAAACCTGAAAATCTAATAGCACGGTTTGGTCAATGGGACATAGAGGATAAGACTCAACCTCTGCCTGTTCAAGAAGCGAATATCCTCGCAATAGTTATTCACCCGACGTACTATAGTGGCGGACTGTTCCATGACATAGCAGTTCTCGTTTTGGAGAAACCGGTCGTTTACAGCACAAACATTCTGCCAATTTGTCTGCCTGAACAAGGTATGGTTTTCACGGCCGGGACCAGGTGCTACGGAACAGGATGGGGTAGTAGTTCCCTCGGTAAGCTTCCGTCGAGTCTGTTGACTGAATTTCTTTTTTGGTCTTTTTTGGTAACATTAGTTTATACGTTTCAGGACCGGAAGGGAAGTACCAAGCGGAACTTCGAAAAGTTAACGTTCCCATTGTCGATCACGCCGAATGCCAAACGCGTTTGCGAAGCACGAGGTTGGGCCAACATTTCCAACTGCATGGATCGTTCATCTGCGCGGGAGGTGAAGCAAATAGAGATACATGTCGCGGTGACGGCGGTGGACCTTTGACCTGTCAGTCTGCTACGGGGCAATTCCTCCAGGCAAGTCTGATTATTGTTGTACAAAAGATATAAATGATGATATCAGATAGACTTGAATAAACATTCGTTTCAGGCTGGTATCGTGTCGTGGGGCATCGGTTGCGGAGCCTCTAACGTTCCTGCGGCATACACCAGCGTATCGCAGCACCGTCAATGGATAGACAAGCAGCTCGCGACTTACGGAGTCCAATGATGTGTAATACTCTGCATAATATGTCTAATTTAACGACTGCCATGTGTCTTATGTAATATCGCTTATGAAATATTCAGTATATAATGTATGTTTAGCGTAAGAATAAGAATAAAATATTAGAATGACTGTTCCTTATTTGGTCTTTGTTTTTTTTATTCTGGTCAAGTCTTTGAATTACGTGACGGATTTGTATCGTAATCACATTTTTTGAATTGTGAATTATCTGACTGTTCCTCTTTCTTTAACCTCTAGTAATTTGATAATCGTGTAGTAAACCTTATCGCAGTATGATAGTGTGCTGGAAAAATTCGAAGGCCAGATACATCGTTGTCCTATTTACCAGAGTAAATACTTGTACATATTCCCACAAATATATGACGGTTTGTTAATGTATTGTATTTAATTTATTTTATTATTGCAAGAGAGATTTTTGTTATATGTCGATTTTCTAAAAAGAAATATATTTAGCAGTATTCAATAAAATAAATATCGTTATTTAGCTTATTACTAAACTATTTAAATTATAGAAGACCGAGTAGTATTTAACTCGCGATACATATAATAATATAATTAAATAAAAAAGACGTGAGAAATATATATAGCATGCGCGTGTGTATATGTGTGAATCCTTCAGAGGAGGAGAAAAGGGGGGGTATACTTGTGCTCAATTCTCGGCTGTGCACTCAGATCTTCCAATAGCCGTGATCGTCTAGTGGTTAGGACCCTACGTTGTGGCCGTAGTAACCCAGGTTCGAATCCTGGTCACGGCAATGTGAAAACATTGTCACGGTGGGAGAATTTTTTTTCTTTATAATTTCTTTTTTCTTAACTATAATACACATTTTATGTATAACTTTTTCTCTTTTTTTTTAGTACAAATTATTTATACACAAATTCATTAAACTTGCAGATTTCTCGTGGATTATGTGTAAATATTATATAATTATTCCATCGAAAATTATATATTTTCGATTTTTGTATATTTCTCTTTGTTACAAATTTATTTATTTTTTAAGAATTAGAATATTTATCCTGATGTATGTTCTCGGATAATTTGCTCAAAAGATAAATTCTTCATACTCAGCAATGCGTCAACGTTGCGAAATCAAATTGTGCACTTCAAATGCGAAATATTCCATTCTACAAAGCATATTGTCCGTTTTTATGTAGATGTACACACTTATATGAAAAAAACAATCGACAAAAACGTAGCATTGTTAACATTGATATGAAGATAATTGACTAATTAAGCTACGTATGGCGCATTCCTGTTAAAGATCAGCAGTGATTACTCTTGAAACTCATAATTGTGAGAAAATTGTGAGAATGCAAGAACTTATTTTTCGTATTTTGTTGCAAAATATTCTTGTGTATCTATCTGTGTGTTTTCAAAATTTTTTTATTAAAAAAATAGTACTTTATCTGTACTTTTATATAATTTCTTAAGAATGTTTGAACGTGCTGTATGAAAAATATAATCCCAAGTGAATTTGTAAAAAAAATTTTTGAAAGATATTTATTTGCGGAAAATTAATCTTTATTCAAATCATACTTATAATATGAGTAGGATGTGAATAAAAAAAAAAACAGAAGGACCACCTATCAAAAGCAAACTCAGTTACTTATTTTGAAAATTCTACATTCCTAATAAATCCCTATCGATTGTCTACAAGGTGTCTACGCTCAACACGAGCGAAGTGACAAATAGCGTAATTCGTACTATTCGCGTTCGATGAAATGGCAATAGTAATTGCCATTTCCGATCAGATAGTGCTGAATGAAAACGCTATTGCAACACCTGCGGACAATACCTGTCGGCCGATTACACATCACCTGAATTGCGCGCAGTGTTGAAGCACAACAATCTCCACAATCTTTCCGTATCGACGTGCGCCGTTAATGACTATCAAGTGACACACGCGACATCGTTCTGGATTAACTGACCCATTTTTATTAAATTTTTATACTACATTTATTGTTTTCTTCTAACGATACATCGAACAAATCGCTGTACATTGTCCCTCGACAAACTTTTAATATTATATTTTTAACTCCTGTTAAAACTCTATTTTTCAATACATGAACACACACTATTTATTTCTCTTTTTCATCAAAATTGTATGTAATATTGGACCAGTCAAAAAGATCGGTTTGATTTTTAGAAAAAATTCTAAATGAGTTATAGCATATAAATAAGAATTGCCATAAATTGGATGATGTTAATATTAATGACATGTCACATCAAATTTGATTTTATAATCTTCTTATACTTTGTAGTTTTATTTTTATATCTCTGTTATTCGTTCTCGCCAAAGAAGATAAAATGAAACCTGTTGGCAGAAGAAATGCTAATGTATTAATGATAAAATTATTTATATATACATTATTTAAATATACATTAAATTATTTATATATTTATAAATTATTTATATATACATTAATATATGTAAATTTCATTGACTCGCGATCGTACACTGTTAAATCCGTAGTGTCAAATTATACTCAATTTGAGTTATTTTTAACCATTCCTATAAGTCGCCACTGTTCCTACTAAATATGTCGTTAATTTAACTAATGTAATGGAGTTAAATAATTTAACTTAAGAAATGTATTAAATTTGACTAAAATTTAGTTTATTTTTTATTATGTGCACGTTAATGTAACCTTTGTTTTTTTTTATTAAAAATGACTTAATGTTGTTTTAAATGGGTTGATTAGATGTGGTTGTTTTTTTAAACACATGTTTTGTGTTAAAATAGTAAATTTTGACACACATGATAGTTAAAAATAACTAAATATTATTTAACTCAAGAAATTGGTTTAAATTTGACCCTCCAATATTTAACAGCGTAGTGCTTGCTTTGCTTTGTCTTAAATTAATATGACGTGTGTCTCTTCTCTCTCTCTCTCTTTTTCGTTCCTTCGAAAATTGCGGCGAAATATCACGGCGAACAAGCTATCGTAAGACACTCATCATACTCATCTGGACCTTATTATCTTGACCTTAACACCAAAAATCAGTATTAGCTGTAACGAATGCTAGTCGCGTTAAATGATGTAATCATTCGGCGAGAAGTCTCGGACGATTCTTAATATTCAGTTGGAATTTGGTTACTTCATCGGACAGAAAGAACGGTCGAATCCGTGAAACTTCGCTTGAACGATCAAGATTCGTTCCAAGCAAGTCGGTAGTGGCGATCAAGCAAAAATTCATACATATCTATGGATCTTTCTTTTCTTATTTGTTCATTGGCAATTATCGCTAGGTTACTTCCACGTCACAGGCGACTCTTGTGCAAAAAAAAAGCGCCGAACGTTTGCTGGTCTTGGGGAAGCCCCTGTTATCTAGAGAACGTTGCCGCGCAAAGGGTTCGCTTGGCGTGAAGCCAATCGGCACGATAGATACTCAAGGCTCGCGGTTCACCAGAAAGGTGAGATGAGGTTCGTGCGTCACAGGAACGGAGACCATACGTGTACCTTACCACCTTCCACTGGAACAGCTGGAAAAACCGCATCTGTCCCAGGGCCAATGTATGGACGGGAAATGCCGGTTCTCCAAGTCTCTGTTCGGAGTGGTACGATGTAGTTGGCATTGCGAGAAGGTGGGGGAGTCCGTGATAAATGCTCAGAGTAGGGATCCTGTAGATGTATAGAGGAAACAGCTCACGGTTTACCGCTCAGGATCACACTAAACGTTGCGTCGCCGCTTCAAGTGGAAGGTGCTCGTCTTGCGGTGTTCTCAGCGTCTGTCTCTGGTGAGTTCCACCTCGAATTCCGTGCTGAAATTGCAAATTCATCGAAGTATCGGCGAGAGTGTCGTAGGCACTCGGTAATAATACATATCGACCGTTAAATATATCCTTGACGATTATGTTTATGTTTTAAATAATGATTATATCGTACGGTGTCAGACTTTCGCGAATATCTTGCGATAGGAAAAATTCTTTGGTTCTGAAGAAAGAGATTAAATTTTAAAGTTTTAATGAAAGCATAGATAATTACAGAGTTATTAGCTTATGACAGAAGTAACGACCGTTCCTTCATTGGTACACGTGACACGTTTTCTTTGAAATACCAGCAATCGATACCGCGACTGATTGAGTACAGTTTGATAATACCGGTTTGTAATCGCGTCATCCCATGTTCATGTTGAAAGGTCAGTAGCGGGCAATTTTGGATAAATCTTACAACGATTATATAACGTACCAGTATGCTATCGGCGGAATTTACGTAAAAGAAGACGTTCAATAGTCGGATTAAACGGCTAAACATTTTTTTTTTGTTTAACGTCTATACTGTCTTTATGTACGTATATATGTATGTATGGACGAATATATGTACGTATATATGTATGTATGAACGAATTAAGAAAAACAATTCATTCGATGACACATACTTGTTCGCGTTTTTATTGCGGAAGAGCCTTGGAAGTAATACCAATTACGAGAACGTCGAGTATCCTGGATAACTGTGTAGTCGAATTGTCGCTGTTCACATATATATCATAGTCACGCACTTTTGAAAAAATTACTTATTTCTTTGTTTTAAAGAGAAAATCTTTCTTTGACTTAATAAGGAATTCAAAGTTCGATAACGATCTTTTGTGTTATAACTGGAAGGCTTTCGGAACGAGAGATGATTAACAGAATCTTTATATCGTGTTAATTATCTTCCTTTACAACAAAATTGTTTTCTCCCATGTAGTTCTAAAATCTTTACACTCCGACATTTATACAAAATTAGTATAATATGTAATATATTTTGTGTATAAACATTTAGAAATATTCTATATATAATTAAAGAAGAGCAATTTCGAAATAATGGGCATGCGAGTCGTTAATCATTTCTTAGTCGTTATTACGACGTTAAGAAATTTCTGACGTCGTTATTTCATGAGATTTCCAGATTAAAAATCCGACTTTTCCTCATCGCGATTATCTCGGATTTAATTGCTACAGTTATGTGCATACACACTGCTGCGTTTTATATGCCTAATGTGTATCTCATATTTTGATAAATCGGGGGAAACCCGAACAGAAGGAAAATTACTATCGAGATCATATGGACAAAGAATAACTCTGTCATTATCTATACTTTCATTAAAACTTTAAAATTTAATCTCTTTCTAATTTCAAGGAAATGGCGAACAATAATATTTGCCAATATTTTGCGCATATTAAACTCGCGCATTCTGATATTTCGCGGAAATCGATAGATTTATTTACTTATGCGGCATTTCGTATATCATCATCGACACTTTTTCTGCGATAACATTTCTCAATGACAGTCGAGATTGTCGAAGACTAAATTATTGCCTCGTGCCGCAACGATCGTAAGTGGAAACGAAGACTTCACGGACTACTGAATCCTAGCCAACACTTGCCGCGATCCTCGCTATATCATATCATCGCTATATATAGCCTCGAAAAAGGAGATATCTCCTTGGTGAGACACGTCCACCATGATTTGCTCGAGCGATGATCGTTCTCGCAATAATGCTTTTTATGTGTGTATGTAATTACGCTTCTCTCTCGTTCGCCTCGTAGATATACTAGAATCCTTGGATCTGTGACCATGTGGCGACTGGTTTTCGCGTTGACCTTGCTCGGCGTGGCCTTAATAACGGCGGTACCTGCGCCGCAACAATCAAATCCAGGTGATCTCGCTAGTCTCATCGAGGGAGCGTTCCCCAATACCAAGACGACTCCGCCGTCGGTGCCTCAGATCGGCGGCGACCTCGACAGCCTCATCAAAGATATATTCAGTAACGTTACCACCACCACCACCACCTCCAACGGGCTGATTCTCGGCACGCAAAATCGGCAGACTCCAAAGCCAGATAACTGCGAATGCGTACCCTATTATCAGTGCAAGGAGGGCAAAATCTTGGAGACAGGAGTCGGCATCATTGATATCAGGTCCGGTTTTGGGAATAATGACGGGCAGTCCCAGGGGTAAGTATAATTACCAAAGATCGGAATCTCTCCGCCAGTTCCACTCTGAATGGCGATGTGTTATCCATGGCATGCTGCAAAATCTTCACCCGCTCCCCTGATGGTAAGATGGAAATTGAAAGTTTAACAGTGATTTTGACTTTGGTGCGACCGTGGGCGACGACGATGCGGTCTTCGTTCTCTCAAGCGCGAAAACCCGTCTGCGTCAATTTTTACGAGTTGTTTTCAATTGAAGATATCGCCTGCAAAAATTGATGAGTTATAGGACGGGTGCGATATCATTTGATATACGATCGAAATCCTCCCGCGAAGAATAGCATCGTCGTACACGATTGCAACGTGCCAGATGGTGTGGTTTGAGTCAGACACGGAGAATGATCGTGTATCAGTAGAGCGGAAGTTGCCATGTTACTATTGCCCAACTACGAGCGGTTTATGTTTCCTTTGTTGTACGCGCGCGGCTCGGTATAATACGTGCACTCGTAAATGGCGATGCAATTAGATGTACTTCGCGCGAAAACATCATTGTTACTGCTTATCGAGAACATCAACGTTACAATGTTTTCGGCTGTGTTATTCCTGCTATTATCCCGTTACAATCGCGCGTCTGGATATTTTAATTGTACCAGCTGAAATCGCATTTTGAATTACAATTGTGTAACCGACATTCTCAAGATATCTCGGAATTCGTTATTTCGTGGAAATATATAATTCGCGACTTTAGCTTTCGTTAAAAGTATTTTCTGTGCGTGGCTACATTTGCATGCGTATGTGTAAAAGTGTTTCCAGTCTATCAGATCAATTAGACCCAACGTACATTATAATGGAAATTGTCAAATGTAGTTTGTACCTAATTGGCTGATTATTTTGAGCATGCCTGTCCACTACGTCGCATGAGATCTTATCTTTGGAAAGCCAAACTCTCCTGGAGCTGCCAATATGCAATTATTTTATTTGTTATTCTAAGTATGTACATTTGCATCTTGCGCGAATGATGCTACCGCTCGATGAGCGATCAAATCGAGTGAACATTAGAAAATAATGTATAATAACAGAACAGAAAAAGTTCTTAATGACAAATTAGTGAGATAGTATAATAGCCTAAAAGATGTCATATGTAGTCGATGTTGATAAAAAATATTTTTCAAATTTTAGTTAATGAATTTTAAATTGCATAATATTTTATAGATTCTTGAAAGGAGAAGCACATCACCTACGGTGATTCATTAAAAAGAGAAAAACACGCTGCTTTAAAAAATCTCATGATTAATTGACAAAATATCATCAATATCTTTTACAGGCATTTTTAAAACATTTTTCATGTTTTTTTGAGAAGAAAGTCGAAAAATTTTACTCATTAGTTTCGATGAGTCTTGAATATATTACAGAGAAGTAAAAAATAAGAGACAATTAGCGTTTTAAGTAAGTATTTCCTTACATGTGTTTAGGAATTGAAACATTTCTTGTTTAAAACATTTTCTCATATATTTCACGATTTCTCTCTCTCTCTCTCTCTCTCTCTCTCTCTCTCTCTCTCTCTCTCTCTTTCTATCTCTTTCTCTCTTATAGATATTTGCTCATTAATTATACAAAATTAGCTCCGAGAAGATGTTTCAATTCCCAGAAGAAAATTACTTAAACATATATAAACATATATAAACATATATAAATATGCGTTCTTTTTTATTTGACTTCTCTGCAATATATCCAAGGCTAACTAAAAAAGATCTAGTTAGATCTTTCTGTTTAATCGACTATTTATGTAAATCGCGACCAAAGCGATTGTGTTGCGAAATTCGCGATGCATAGCCAATCAGGAAGCCTACGGATTAATTATTCTGGCATTATCATCATTGTGGTTGAACATATTTAGAGGACTTGGGCCGTGTGAGAATTACTTGGACGTTTGCTGCAAGGCACCAGATACGTTGGAGATACCGGTGACGCCACGTCCAAACGAGAGAGTCGGATGTGGACAACGACATCCCGAGGGAGTTGGCTTCAGAATCACCGGTGATAAAGATAACGAGGCACAGTTCGGCGAATTCCCCTGGATGGTGGCTATTTTGAAGGAAGAATCCATCGGCGCCGACGGACAAAAATTGAATGTCTATCAGTGCGGTGGTGCTCTGATCCACAGAAAAGCCGTTCTCACTGCGGCTCACTGCGTTAATGGGTTAGTTAATTCGCTAAGTGTGCATATTAAAATATATATAATCAACGCGCAATAGAAAGATATTAATCGTGGAGAGAAACGTTACTCACTTCGCGTTTTCGCTTTTCGCGCCTTTGCTCATTGCTCCTTTAACTTTGCGATACGTCGCAATCGATCGGTACAGGAAGCAACCGCAAGAGTTGAAGATCCGTGCGGGAGAATGGGACACGATGACAAAGAGCGAGGTCTTCCCGCATCAGGACCGCGACGTCGAGACAGTCGTGGTTCACGAAAAGTTCCACTCGGGTGCGCTCTTTAACGATTATGCGATCCTAATCCTGAAGGAACCAGTAGAATACGCGGAGAACGTGGACATCGTGTGCTTACCGGAGACAGGCGCAGTCTTCGACGGATCCAGATGCTTCGCCAGCGGATGGGGCAAAGATGTGTTCGGTAAGAGAGCGTGAAGCGATGAAGAGGGAAGTTAGTGTCGATTACCTGACTTCCCCGAAACGTAACGTACTGTATTAATAGCCTGGACACAGAGTTCAAAGTCCAAACTTGATTTAAACTGGCCCAGGCTGATACGTAATTGTGCGGCTTTACGTAATTGTACTTAATTACAGGCAAAGAAGGACGTTATCAGGTGATCCTGAAGAAGGTGGAGCTCCCTATGGTACCCAACCCAACCTGCCAGACTATCATGCGCACTACCAGGCTAGGAAAATACTTCGTACTAGACAAGAGCTTCGTCTGCGCGGGTGGAGAATTAGGAAAAGACACTTGCAAGGTAAATTTAATTTCCACGGAAAGGCGACATATCTGTCGCGTGTTACTACACGTTTATTCCTGAAAAATACGACACACCGTCGCATTATTTTCGCATTAGGCAAACGCGTGAGCTGCCAGTTTTCGTCTTTGGAAGAAAATAAAATAAAAATTTGAGACTGAATAATTATTCTAATTTTTAAACAGCCGTTTGACGAGAATTTTTTTCATGTTTTTCGTTCGGAAGAGTGATCGTTTAACTTTGCCTGCAGGGTGACGGCGGAAGTCCTCTGGTGTGCCCGCTGAAGAACGACCCGAACAGATACGTCCAAGCCGGCATCGTCGCCTGGGGACTTGGCTGCGGTGAGGACGGTACTCCTGGCGTATACGCCAACGTAGCTAACGGGCGTAGATGGATCGACGAGCAGATAGCTTTCTACAATCTGGACAACACTGTTTATCAGTATAGCTCGTAGAGCTCGACTGATCATCGTTCATCCGATATGCTGATCGACCAGGCGAATTTTTCCAGAGTCACTTATCAAATTGCGCAAATTGCGCTAATGTTCTTTCATCGAAGCGTTTTACGCGGGTAACTCTAGACCAAGAGAGGGAATGTGATGTTCGATCAATCATTGCGTTGGCTTAATACTTTGGAAGAATAGAATAAGATTTAGAGCGAGTCATTGTAATGTTAACATCTCTCTGCACTCCGTGCATTAAACAGAGCTTAAAAGTGATCGTAGATTTAAGTAACGGAAGATAGCCACAAGGACAGGTATCGTGAAAATCAATGCGTGGCGTTTTATAAGTGAACAATACACATTTTTATTAAAGATAAACCATTAGAATATAACGTTAATTATTCCTTCCCTCGTTTTGCGGAATTTCAATTTCGTAATAATAATCTTACCTCGATTAGCTGTCGATCTCCAGAAAATAAATCATGGGATATGATATTGAACGATTTTTCTCTGAGATATCTTTGCAATAAATTAAATGTAAGCTGTTAAATAACCAGATATGTTTGGTTAATCTGCCAAAAATCTTGTTAACTTAAACAGAATTCGGGTTACTTTAATTAGAATTTCTGGATCGTTTATATTCGACCAGATATTTGGTAAATTCAACCAAATCTTTTTTTCCGTGTAAATATTTTTACTGCATAAACGTAGCTAATAATATCTTATATTTCTTAAGAACCAAACTATGCATATAATGTAGTAATGACTTACTTGCTTTTATACAGTTATCCACTATTTTGATAACATTGTCCTTTAATTGTGGGATTACTCTTTTACGAACTTCACTGTACATTTTATGTACAATAATTTCTGATCCTTCCATCTATCGTCATTGTCAACGGTTGTGCATAAACGCAATGGAACGCGTTTCTCTATTATTTAATTTTCAAATAATTTTAATAATGTAAAGACATTTCAACATATTTTTAACATCCTCAACGCTTCACATCTGAAAATAATATATATAATAAGTTAGTATATTATATATATTGAACTGCTTTATCTCTTCATAATTTATGCAATATGTTTTATATAATTATCTATGCATTTGTTTTCTTTTCTTCCATATTACATGTCTTATGTTTAGATGACCTGTAACCTCGCGACTTCAGCTTGTGCATTTTATATTTTGTTCTTATATAAATGCAACATACTTTAACGGATTCCGCAGAGAATTCTTGGTGCAGTTTTAAGACATTAGAAGAGCAACATTTCAAGCAAAATGAAGACGTTTGTGTTCTACGTTTGTGTGTTCTCGCTTATTGTAAGAACTACATTATTATTACAAAAATTATAAAAAAGATTCAAGCGCAGAAAGAAACATATATTTTTTGTTTACCTATATTCTCGTTACCTATGTTCTCGTTTATATATATTCGTGAAATATTATTTTTATCTATTTTAGTATTTTATCTCAGCTAAAGCTTTGCAACCGCAGCCAAGATTAAGCCGGAAACTATTAGCTACTAAACAAGATTTTGACGAATGCGTTAACATGATTAATATCACGAGTGGTGAGTCGATACACGGTTTCTTCTCGATTTTTAATGTCTTTGTTACCTATTCGTATGATAGAAATTCAGATTGTGACGTTAATACATATATATCTTTCATTTTAATATTATTATTTACTTTTTAGACGAAATGTTCAAAATGAATGATATATTAAATGACACATATAAAGTATCTGGAAACGAAGAGAAAGTAAGAAAACACGGATGTATATTCCATTGTGTGTTGGAAAAAGTTGGCGCGGTAAGTGTAACTTACATGCACTGTTAAAGACGATTAATTTTTAATTGATAATTTGTTATCTCTTTCCATTACGTTTATGCACAATCGTTGACAATGACGATAGATGGAAGGATCAGAAATTATTGTAGATAAAATGTATAGTGAAGTTCGTAAAAGAGTAATCCCACAATTAAAGGACAATGTTATCAAAATAGTGGATAACTGTATAAAAGCAAGTAAGTCGTTATTACATTATATGCATAGTTTGGTTCTTAAGAAATATAAGATATTATTAGCTACGTTTATGCAGTAAAAATATTTACACGGAAAAAAGATTTGGTTGAATTTACCAAATATCTGGTCGAATATGAACGATCCAGAAATTCCAATTAAAATAACCCGAATTCTGTTTAAGTTAACAAGATTTTTGGCAGATTAACCAAACATATCTAGTTATTTAACCAAACATGTTTGATTAAATAACCAGACATGTTTGGTTAGTTTGCCAAAAATCTTGTTAACTTAAACAGAATTCGGATTACTTCAATTGGAATTTCTAGATTGTTCATATTCGACCAGATATTTGGTTAATTCAATCAAATCTTTTTTTTCTGTATGGAACGTTGATTTTTAAGCAAGTTTTAAACGCAGCATTAAACCACAATCAGAATACATTTTACTATGCTAATACAACAATATACACACAAAAAATATGTATTACGCTTGTCATCATCTCTTAATCGGCTTTTCTTCATATTTCAGTAAAAACTGTCACGGAAAAATGTCAGAAAACTTTTAATCTAGAAGTGTGTTTACTAAAAGCTGAATTTAAAGAGCTTGACGAATACTTACGTGAAATTGACACACACCATACTACAACACCTGAACCAGAGTAATAATAATAATTTTAATAATTCAATATAAATGTATCAGTCGTGCGTAAACAGATATATCTCCTTGTATGGTTTTTTTTTTGCTTGAACTGAATAGAGTGTATAGATATAAGTGAATAGAGTGTATAGATATAAGTGAATAGAGTGTAATAGAGTGTCAGATATAAAAATAGTATCAATATAATATAAATTTAAATTGATATCTTAAATTTGTTTAACTTTCTAGGATAAAGACATAACAAACCGATGACATCAGATTAGTTTTTGCGACAAAATGCAAATTAAGATGTATTGAATGAATTTCAATCAACAGCTCTTATCATTTACATAATTTTTGCTACACGCGTCTAGGAAAACATTGAATCGTATTGGTTTAAGAAATTATATTTAATCGGGATAAAGTCGTACAAATTTACGTGATATAAAAAAAAAAAATATATATATACAGGGTGAGTCATTTTAGTCTATGGATCCGAATATCTTCCAAATTACGGTATCTACAAAAAAATGGTTTAGATAAAAGTTGACCAGGACAGAGGGGGTCATTCAATTGTACCATTGGTTTTGACCTTGAGGTCAATTTTGAAGGTTACTTCAAGGTCACGATGGTTTTTTCTAATGGGACACCCTATTTTTGACTGCGGATTTCGAAAGAGCGGAAAATTTTACATCAAACTTGTCTTATGAAAAAATTGTT